CACGGCGATCGGGCATCCCGAGATTCGGATGAGCGACGCGGCGCCCGCAGTGTCAGCGCGCCCGTCCACCTACTCCCGCCGCTCCAATCCCGCGCGCCTCCCGCCACAAGCCTGGCCATGGGCTCCGCTGTCTGGTGTCGCCTCGGCGGCCTCAGCCTCCGGCTGGTCTGCCTCCTGTCCTTAGCACCGGCGAGGGTGGCCGCAGGTAAGGCGCTGCGCCCCGCCAGGCACCGGCCCGCGGCCAGGGTCGGGATCTTGTGGGCCGCCGGCGGAGCGCAACGATGCCTCCCCCTCTCCCTTTCACCCGTCTCCCCAGGAATCGCCGGATGCCCCTCGGGGCCTGCTCATCTCCCCCTGGGGTTGGCGATGACTGAGAAGTGCGCGGGATGGCCAACGCGCTCACCTACCTGGGCCCCGCGGGAGCCCTGGCACCCAGCGGGGGCAGAGACCGGGAGGACGAAGCAGGGAGGCCCGGGGCGGGGGTTAGGAGGGAAGGGCGGTCAGTGGTGGGCATTGCGCCACAGACCCCCCACACACACACACACTCCCCGAGGTCGGACACGCAGCAGTTTTGCCCTCAAATGTCGTCTTTTAAGGGGGAGGTTTCCATTTAGGGGATTCTTGGGGACTTGACTGGGGTTGGGATTGAATTTTAGAACCCTGAGAGGCCAGTCTGCCATTTCTTCCCTGGGAATGATTTCCAAAATGGACCCCAGGTTGCTGCCCACCCCGTGCCGACCTCCCCGTCGCCCAAAAGACCGACAAGCACGATGATTCCGCCACTTTTGGAGATCAGATAGGAGGGACAGGAGGACCGTGGGCAGCTATGGGGAGGGTAATTAGTAGCCCGCATTTTTTCATCTGTGCTTCTCCCACCCCATCCCCCTCTGACAGTAGTAGGGAAAAGAAGGACCCCATGCAAATCTGTATACAAGCTGAACTGAAAATCTGTGCGTTGGGCCTGACTGAGAATCCTGTGGGAATTGTGTTGCGCAGATTCGCCTGCCCCCTCCTGGGGGAGGGGATCATACAGAAACGGAGTCTCTCATCCATTAGGGTTATGTGTCTAGAAATTATCACCATGCGCTACGTTGAAAAGAGAGGGGGTGGGGCTGGGCAGTGGTAGCTCATGCCTCGCTTTTTGGGAGGCTGAGATCTGAGGATCACAGGGTCTGAAGCCAGAGGAGGCAGTCAAAAAGACTCATCTCTAATTAGTAACCAAAAAGCTGTAAGTAGATGTGTGTCTCAAGTAGTAGAATCCCAGCCTTGAGTAGAAAAGGCACCCCAACCCCCCACCCCCACAAAACACAAAAACGACTTCAGCCATGGTGTGTAGTTTCCAGGTTGGCAGACTACACTCTTGATACACACGGCTGAAATTGTTAATAGCAAAGAAATAGAGGCTCAACACCCTTTTCCACCACGCTTCCTGGGGTGTAGACCAACTTGTTTGAGTGGTCTGTACCACCGACACGCACAAGTTAGAAATGCTGTACCCACTAATTTATCCCAGGTTGCATTCTCCAGACAGGTGTACTTGGCAAGTATTTGGGCTGTCTGTATGTGCCATGTGAAAGGGCTGATGGTGGCCATGTTCTGGAACATTCTAGAACATACCCCATGGTATACGGTAAAGTGGAAGTCCTAGTGTCCTGGCAGGTGTTTCTTTTAGAATCAGGCTTTGGAAACACTTGCCCTTTGTGCTTTGGCTCCTTTAGCTCGTGGGCACCTGCGGGGCTCCTCAAGTACCTTCCTTAGTGGTTTGATTCTGACTCCTAGGCAGAGTCACTAGGGTTCTGAAACCTGAAAGATGAATCTGTATGGACAAGTGTCCACATCTTCATGATCTACTTCAGCCTGGATATCTGGACCTCTCCAAAAGCTTCCTTTCACCGCTCCCCCCCCCTCCCGCCCCTTCAGAAGGACACCATCACCTAGAGTGTGAAGCTCCACCTTTTGAAAATCCAACCTGAAACCAGGCACTAGTATCTCACCCGTTATCCTAGCTACTAAGGAGGTTGAGATCTGAGGATGGTGGATAGAAGCCAGCCCAGTAAGGAAAGTCCGTGAGACTCTTATCTCCGATTAATTACACAAAATGCTGGAAGTGGAACTGTGGCTGAAATGGTAGAGTACTCACCTTAAGCACAAAAGCTCAGGGAGAGCGCCCAAGCCCTGGGTTCAAGCCCAGGACTGGCACAAAAAAGAAAAAAAAATCGAATCTGAGAAAAATCACTTGGGGGCCTGCTAGAGACAGGGCTGGCAGAGGGCTCCCAGGAACCAAGCCAGCTACTGCAGTAGTCAAGCCAAAGCCCTACCCATCCCGCCCACGCCCCCTCCCTGCCCCAGGGTGCACCTCCTGATTGCATCCCCTTGGCAACCGATCTGCATCACTCAGGCTACCCCCCCACCCCCAGCAGATCCTGAGTGGCTATTAGCATGAGGCCCTAAGTCCCCACCAGCCGGCCTCCATTTGGCCCAGGCTCCTCCTCCACTGCGGGGAGGGTGGTGCCAAGAGCCAGAGGGAGAAAGGAGGGGGTAGCCTCTCTTCCAAACTACTCTCTAGGAAGCCAGAGACTCGGAGTGTGTGTGTGTGTAGCCAGAGACTCAGTGTGTGTGTGTGTGTGTGTGTGTGTGTGTGTCTACTACCCAAAGAGAGGGAGAACAGCCAGAGGAAGCAGCAGTGGACTAAGCTGTTGGCCTCTTGACTCAATTGTAAATAAAATAAAAAATAGCCTTGAGCCATCAAGTGTTGCTCACATCTGTAATCCTAGCTAGCTACTCAGGAGGCTGAGATCTGAGGTTCACGGTTCAAAGACGGCCCAAGCAAGAAAGTCCATGAGACTCTTATCTCCAAAAGCCAGAAATGGAGCTGGGACTCAAGTGGTAAAGTACTAGCCTTGAACAACAACAACAACAAAGCCCAAGGACAGTGCCCAGCCCCTGAGTTCAAGCCTCAGGATCATTTCCAAAAAGAAATAGCCTTGTAAAACAGGGGACACAGGACTTGGATGACAGGAAAGGCTGGACCCAAAGTCCCCAGTGGGGACAGGTATTGCTGCGTGGAGTTAAGGGGGCAGGTGCTTTTGAGGAACAATTTATCCTTCTTGTTTGGCAGAGCCAACAGGTGTCTTGTGAGCCCCACAGGCAAGAACAAGGTGCCCTGGGAGGTTGGGTTCTTTGGGAGAGTGGGGCACACAGAAAGGGCTCATTAGTAGCACCTGGGTGAACACCCTCTTGGGATCAGTGCCAGATGGGTTGCTCTGTCTGCCGGCTATCACTTGGCTAAATGGCAGTGCTGAACACCATGTATATGCCCAGAGGAGATGGCCGTGACTTCTGCCCTCAAGGAGTTCCCAGGGCACTGGAGTGAGGTTTCTCTTTTTCATCCAGCATCCTGAGCACAGAGGGGGAAGGGACACAGGGAGGGCTTCCAGGTAGTTATCTATGCATAAATAGGTAGACAGAAGCATATGCAAAGGTCCTGAGGCCAGGAAAAGCAGAACAGGTGTGGGAACAACAGAGGTCCAAAGTGACTGGCAGCACAGATGTTGTTTTGTAAGATTTCAATCTGGAGGTCTTGGAATATATCATAAGATGCCCACTCAAGCAGGTTTCTGTGACAGCGCCCTTTGACACAGCCTGTTTCTGGTCTCCTAGGTCTGTACGAGCTCAATCTCACCACTGATGGCCAAGCCACCACGGGGACACAAGTGACCATCTCAGCCACCCTGGTGGCCAACGACAACAGCAGCCTGACCCTGCCTGCCAGTGCCCAACTGTACCATTTCCATTGGATTCACACCCCACTCATACTCACAAGCAAGATGGAAAATGATCTCACCTCGACCATCGGAGTGGTGAGCAGCGTACCTGGGGACTTCCCAGTCTCCGTCTGGGTCACTTCAGCTGACTGCTGGATGTGCCAGCCCATGGCCAGAGGCATTATCCTTCTGTCTTTCACAGGTGAGAGCTTCCCTGGGTGCTAATTGAGCTTAGTGTGTGCGCATGTGCATCGCACTTGAACTCAAGACCTGAGCACTGTCCCTTAGCTTTCTTGCTCAATGCTGGCACTCTACCACTTGAGTCACAGGTCCACTTTCAGCTTTTATTTTTTAAAATTGTTATTAATAGACGTGATATACAGAGGAATTACAGTTACAGTAGGGTAATGAGTCCATTTCCTATCAAGCATTGTTACTCCCTCCTTTGTTTTCCCCTCCCATCCCTTTCCTCCCCATCTCCCCACCTCCCCCACCCCCACAAAAGTTGTAAAGTTGGTGTTCAACATAGTGTGTGAGTACATTTCTTTTTGGACAATGCTATCCTTCCCCCTCTCTCATTCCCAGTTTCCCCCCTCCCATCCCTATTCACAGGTTGTGTAGTTCATTCTCAACAAAGTATCTAGTGAGTATCACTGCTGCATTTGTACACCCTTCCTTCCTCCATTCCTGTGCCTCCCTTACCCTCCCAAAGACATATTAATGAAGATACAAGACAAAAAAAAATACAAAAAAAAACAAAAAGAGCAACCAAGGGAGGGGGTTGGGTTTGCGGGGGGGGGACACCCTCCTTTCCATTTCCTGGAGTTCATTTTGACAAATACTATTTTATATGATCAGAGACACACATGCATTGCACCTTTGTGATACACCCCAAAAAGTATCCTCCTTTGGTCTTAATGTGTGAATGTCTAGAGTCTTGTATAATTTATTATGTCCCAGTGTATTTTAGATCAAGCTTTTGCATGTGAGAGAAAATATGCGCTGACTCTCTGAGCTTGGCTTACCTTACTTAACATGATTTTTCCAATCCATTTACCTGCAAATGACATAATAATCTAATGGCTATTTCTTTTTGGTAATGATCCTGAGGCTTGAACTCAGGGCCTGGGCACTGTCCTTGGACTTCGAGATGGAGTTGTTTTGATTTACATTTCCTTTATGGCCAGGGATGTTGAACATTTCCTCATGTGTTTGTCATTCTTCCCTCTTCTTCTGAGAAGTCTCTCCTTAGCTCCTTCTACTTCTAGCTTTTTAATGGTTAAGTGAAGATTAGAATCTCATGGACTTTGCTGCTCAGGCTGGCATTGAATTGCCCATCCTTAGAACTCAGCTTCCTAAGCCGGGCGCCGGTTGCTCATACCTGTAATCCTAGCTACTCAGGAGGCTAAGATCTGAGGATCCCAGTGGAAAGCCAGCCTGGGCAGGAAAGACCATGAGACTCTTATCTCCAATAAACCACTCAAACACTGGCGCTGTGGCTCAAGAGGTAGAGCGCTCACCTTGAGCTGAAGAGTGCAGGGACAGCACCCAAGCGGAGCTCAAGCCCCACAACCGACCAAAAAAAAAACAAACCAAAAAAACAACAACAAAAAAAAAAACTCAGCTTCCTGAGCCTCAAGGATTGTAAGTGTAAGCCACTGGTGCCTGGCTTGATGCAGAGAAAAGCATCAGCCTAATATCAACACCAAAATCTACAGCTACTCAAGTCCCTTATGAAACATGGCATGGCTTATAATAATAATTGTAAATACCATGCCAAATTGTTTGACTTGTATTGTTTAGACAATAACAAGAAATATGTATGTGTTCAATACTGAAATTTCTTTTAAAGCCTGTACATTTCTATGTGCAGGAATTATTACAATTATTTTATTTATTTATTTACAGTTGGTCGTGGGGCCTGAATCTGGGCCTGGGCGCTGTCCCTCAGCTCTTCAGCTCAAGGCTAGTGCTCTACCACTTGAGCCACAGCGCCACTTTCAGTGGCCAGTTTTGTTATGGTTTATTGGAGATGAGTCTCATGGACTTTTCTGCCTGGGCTGGCTTTGAATTTCAATCCCCAGATCTCAGCCTCCTGAGTAGCTACAATTACAGGTGTGAGCCACCAGCACCCGGCTGGTTTTTTTTGGTCAGTCATGGGGTCTGAACTCTGGGCCTGGGCACTGTCCCTCAGCTCTTCAGCTCAAGACTAGTGCTCTACCACTTGAGCCACAGCACCACTTCCAGATTTTTCTGCTTATGTGGTGCTGAGGAATTGAACCCAGGGCTTCATGCATGCAAGGCAAGCACTCTACAAGAGCCATCTTCCCAGCCCCTATTCCAGTTATTTTTAATAAATTATTATTATTAATGTTGGGATTGAGAGGTCTTGCTATGTATCCCATGATGGCTTTGAACTTGTGATCCTCTTGAGAACTGGGATTTCAGGTGTGTACCACTGTACTGGCACCATCACCAGCAGTGCCCACATAGCAGGAAGGTGACTATGGATGCCTCTGTGCTGAGGAATTTGTAAGGTCCCCTTCCGCATCCGGCACCTGAAAGAGTGGGTGGGAGAGCAGTGGCTCTGCTCCCAGGATCCTCCTGCTCTGGTCCTCTGTGGACTTGCTCTTCTCCTATCTTTCTCAGAGTTCCTTGTGGGGGACCTGGTTGTCACACAGAACACCTCCTTGCCATGGCCTAGCTCTTACCTCACCAAGACAGTCCTTAAAGTAGCCTTCGTCCTCCATGACCCCAGCAACTTCTTCCACATGGCCTACTTTCTCTACAGCTGGGACTTCGGAGACGGGTATGTCCTTATACTTTCATGTTCTCTCTCTCTTTCTCTCTCTCTCTCGGTTGCAACTCAAGGCCTCATGCCAAGAACTATACAATTGAGGATTATAGGCAGGAGCCACAAGCATCTGGCTGGATTTGTTTTGTGCCAGTCCTGGGGTTTGAACTCAGAACATGGGTGCTGTCCCTGAGCTTTTAGTGCTCGACCTACTTAGGCCACAGCTCCACTTCTGGCTTTCTGTGGTTAATTGGAGGTAAGAGTCTCTTAGACTTTTCCTGTCTAAGCTTGCTTTGAACTGAGATCCTCAGATCTCAACCTCCTGAGTAGTTAGGATTACAGTGTGAGCCACTGGCACTTTTGCCTGAAGTAGATCTCAGACTATGATCCTTTTTCTCCTCCCTCCCAAGTAGCTGGGATTATAGGCATGAGCCACCATCCCTTATTTACCTTCTAAGTGTTCCAAATCCAGGGCCAGTGGCCCAGTATGGGCTCTGCTGTCTCACATGGTTTACAGACTGTCCTCCATTTTCCATCAAACACTCCTTAAGCACTTGCTTTGCTCAGTGTCAGGCCCCAGGGGACCTCCATGACTCCATCTCTGGGCCCTGCCTCTGAAGTGTATCTGCCCAGTACAGGCAGGTACTGGTTGGTACCTGCACAACTCTCTCAGGAAGACAGGTCAAGATAGGGTTTTCTCACCTGATGACTCTGAATGGCATGCACTGTATTAGACAAGCATGAGGCCCCGAGTTCAAGCCCCAGTACCACAAAATGATGGTCACTGGTAGCTCACCCCTGTAATCCTAGCTCCTTAGGAGGCTGTGATCTGAGGATTGTGGTTCAAAGCCAATCTAGGCAGGAAAAGTCCATCACGAGGTGTTATTTAATCCATTGATGATTTTATAGCTCAGGGAAGTCAGGTGCTGGTGGCTCATACCTGTAATCCTAGCTGCTCAGGAGGCTGAGATCTGAGGATCATGGTTCAAAGCCAGCCCATGCAGGAAAAGTCCATGAGACTTTCATTTGGCTCTGTGGCTCAAGTGGTAGGTTGTTCGCCTTGAGCTGAAGAGCTCAAGGAAAGCACCCAGGCCCAGAGTTCAAGCACCACAACCCACAAAAAAAGAAAAGAAGAAGAAAAAAGAGCTCAAGGACAGCACCTAGGCCCTTGAGTTCAAGCCCCATGACTGACAAAAATTAAAAATAAAAAAATATTCAGGAGGACCTGCTAAAGAAATTACCTAGAAAAGACAGCAAAAATAAATGCTTGTTATCAGGGGATTTTAATATTCCAGACTTAGTACCAGGGTACTGAGCAGGCCCTCATGCTTGCTTCACTTACTTGATTACTGGCGCTCTATCAGTTGAGCCATCCCGATAGCTGGCTTTTTTTGCTGGTTAACTGGTGATGGAGTCTGAAAGATGTTTCTGCCCAGGCAAAGATATGAGCCATTATCCTCTGGATCTTAGGCTCCAGCATAACTAGGATTACAGGTTATGAATACTGATGTGCAGCCAAGCACATCCATTTGTAACAGGGTTCCATTACAAAGATAAGGTCAACTCTCTGACCTCAAACTCTGAACTTATGGTCACCAAATCAACCCAAAGCCTTCACTCAAAGTTACATTGTTAACCTATCTACAGTGACTGAAAGCCACACCAGATCAACCCAAAGCCTTCACCCAAAGTTACATTGTTAATCTGTCCACAATGACTCAAAGCTACTCCAGCAAACAAAGACACCCAGCAATTTAATACTGATTCTTGTTGGTTAATTAGAGATGAGTCTTGCACACTTTTATGCCCAAACTGACCTTGAACCATGATCCTCCTGGATCTCAGCTTTCTGAGTGTGAGTCACCAAATGACACCTGGCTTCCTGGCTCTTGATGAGAAAAAAAGATCCACAATCAGTCAAATACTTTTTGTGAATCAGGTTTGCAGGTGGTTGCCATAGCAACCTGTGGGTGACTAACCATCTGCCTCTGCAGCACAGGGACCATGAGCTATGTCCATCTGTTTCTTGGAGGACACATACATCTCGTCCACAGCAGAGCCCCATGGAGTGAGGAGAGGAAGCTATGGAAGACCTTCCCTGCCTTCTCTGGCCCCAGAGAGCCAGATGACCTTAAGCCCCAGCTGGTGTGTTCATGACAGGTGTATTCAAGGCTGGCCAAATGTCACCATAATGCTGCCCCTTATCCTAACAATTCCCACAGATCACTAAGTTCCAGGAAGCACAGCTTTTTAACTTCCTCTCCCCTCCTCTTTGTCACTTCACAGGACTCAAATGGTGACAGAAGATGGTGTGGTCTATTACAACTATTCAGTTATGGGAGCCTTCACGGTGAAGCTCAAGGTGATAGCAGAGTGGGAGCAGGCACAGCCAGATGGCTCCAAAGTCGTTATGCAGAAGACCGGTGACTTCGCTGCCTCATTGAAGCTGCAGGGTGGGTCTTCCCAGCTAGTGTGGGTCAGCTGGCCATCAGCTGGCTCCTCATCTCAAATTATCTGGTTCTCACTGATTGTGTGAGTGTGTGCATGTGCACACGTGCGTGCTTGAATTCTGGGCCTGGGTGCTATTCCTTAGCTTTGCACTCAATACTGGAGCTCTACCACTTGAGCCAGCTCCACCTCCAGCTTTTTGATGGTTCATTTGGAGGTAAGAGTCTCCCAGACTTCCCTGTCTGAGCTGGCTTTAAACCTCAATCTTTAGCTCTCAGGCTCTTGTGTAGCTCGGAGCCACCAGCTACCGGCTCTCATGGATTCTTGTTCCCTGATCCCATCAGCCTCTGTTCATGCTGGCAGGGTGGGAGGCCTCAATCTACCACACAGGGAGCTGATTCCCAGGGGCATCTCTCTCCCCTGCCCTTTCTTCCCCCTCCCCCTCTCTCCTTCCCTCCCCCTCACTTGGGGCCACTGCAGGGATTTCTTGGATTCTGCTAATGTAGTGGTACTTAATCCTTGGTTAGAGCCAGTGGCCTTTGCCACTTCCCTTCCCTGGGTCAGCTCTAGCGCCTGCTGCTGATGGGGAGGGGCCTGCTGCCCTCCCTTGGGAGAGGGCCAGAGGAGAGGACCAAGTGGTGGCCAGGAAGAACCTGGGCTCTGGAAACCTCTGGACAGCGGTCCTAAATGAGTCCTGACAGGGTCTAATGGGCTCCTGTTTCTACACAGAAACCCTACGAGGCATCCAGGTCTTTGGGCCTACTGTAATTCAGAGCTTCCAAAGGATGATAGTGACCTTGAACTTCCTGGGGAGGTGAGTGAACCCCAGAGGGTACTCTGGGTGCCCTGTGCCCTTCTACATCATGACAGATGCTCCTAAGCCTGCTCCACCCTCATCCTTCCTCCACTTTTTTTTTGGGGGGGGGAGGGGGTCCTGGGGCTTGAACTCTGGGCCTGGGTGTTGTCTCTCAGCTCTTCAGCTCAAGGCTAGCGCTCTACCACTTGAGCCACAGTGCCACTTTCGGTTTTCTGGTGGTTTATTAGAGATAAGAGTCTCACAGACTTTCCTGCCCTGGCTGGCTTTGAACCACAATCCTCAGATCTCAGCCTTCTGAGTAGCTAAGATTATAGGCATGAACCACCAGCGCTGACCTTCCTCTACTTTTTAAATTTTCTTATAAAGGACTTGCTATGTGGCCAAGGCTAGTTTAGAACTTTCCATCTGCCTGTCAGCCTCCTGAGTGCTGAGACTGTGGGCACAAGCCACCATGCCTGGCTGGAGAGCCCTCACTCTTTCTAATCTACTCAAAGCCACTTCTTTCAGATTCTGCTCACACTGCCTTCTCCAGGAAGCCTTCCCTACATTCCTCATTCACAATGTGCTCACGGGCCCCACTTCACATTCTTAGCCTCACCAGGAGGCCTTAGGCCATCTCCTCCATGATGCTGTGCTCTTGGGCTGGACTCCAGGGCAGCTTGATATCAGGTCTTAGAAAGGACGCTGGAATCTGTGTCCACCTGGGTTTTTGCTCCTTGCCAAGCCAGTTCTGAAGTTCATCTGTTTCCCTGCAGCCCCCCACTGAATGTGTGCTGGCGGCTCAAGTCCGAGTGCCTTCCACTGGAGGAGGGGGAGTGCCACCCCATATCCGTGGCCAGCACAGCTTATAACCTGACCCACATCTTCCACAGTCCTGGAGACTACTGCTTCAGCATCCGAGCTGAAAACGCCATCAGCAAAACACACCAGTACCACAGGATCCAGGTGTGGCCGTCCAGTAAGTGCAGCCAGCTCCCCTCTCCACAACCCTGCTGCCCTGGTCATCATAGCCAATAACCTACCCACACCAGCACCACCACCAGCCCTCCTGATACCTCACCACCACCAAACCCTTCCAGGTACCATTCCCTACACTAAGCCCAGTACCACCATGAAACTCTTTTAGTACCATCATCACTGACATGGTACCAACCTCTGTGTCACCACTACCACCAACACTCTACCAACCTAAGTACCATCATCAAACCCTACCAGTACCACAGATAGCACTGTATAACCTCAGTACAACTAACAAGCCCTTCCATTATGATACATATCAATCCCGGTACCAAACTCTCAGTACCATTAACAACAAGCTCCCAACTGCAATACCACCACCAAACTTACAGAACTCTTACAACACTTACCAATGTCAGTAAGGAGCCTGCCAATTCCATGGCATCCCTTTTCTCCCTGGCAGGCTTCCAGCCAGCTATCTTTGCTTTTCCGTGTGCCACAATTATTACCATATTGCTGGCCTTCATCATGTACATGACCCTGCGGAATTCCACCCAGCAAAAGGAGATATTGGAGGTAAGTGCTCAGTGAGATGGGAGCTGGATCAAAGGCCCCCCCTCCACAGGATTTCTGGAGAGGGTGTGGGGCTGAGCCAGGATGCCTGGAGGGGATTCTGAACAAGTCTCTGAATGTGGGGAACCATGGCTTACAGTCTTGTCTAGCATGTTTAAAGCCCTGGGTTCGATCCCTAAGGCCTTAACACAACATGAAACAAGTTCCTGAGGGTTGGGATGATGTACCAAAGAAGCAGCTGGAGACTGCTTAGAAGTGCTGTTAGCTCATGCCTGTAATCCTAGCTACTCAGGATGCTGAGAGCTGAAGATGGAGGTTCACAGCCCACCAGGACAGGAAAGTCTGTGAGACTCTTATCTCTAATTACCACCAAAAAGTTGGAAGTGGAGCTGTGACTCAGGTGGTAGAGCACCAGACTTGAGTGAAAAAGCTCAGGGACAGAGCCTAGGACCTGAGTTCAAGCCCCAGTACAGAATTGTTGAGTGAGCTGGTGTCCAAACTGACTTACCTCCTTGCCCCTTGCCTATGGGTACTGCCAGATGCATTTCTGCATGCTGTTGCCAGTCAGCTGAGCTCCTAAGGCCACCAGACATGGCTCCAGGTGGGCAGTGAATGACCTGTGTTTACTATAGCTTGCTGATTTTTTTTACTCCCTTCCTCCCTTGCCCCCCATGTCTGACAAGAACCCGGAGCCACACTCTGGGGTCAGGTGTTGCTGCCAGACGTGTTGTGGACCTTTCTGGCTGGATACACCATCAGAGTACCTGGAAATTGTCCGAGAGAACCACCGGCTGCTCCCTCCCCTCAAGTCTGTCAAAACATACACAGTGTGAGTGCCCTGCTCCCGCTCAGCTCAGTATTATCAGATGTGACTCACTAGGGAGGGTGGCACATGCTGCTTAGGAGGGGTCTCGGGTATGGGCTGCTTTGTTCATCCCTGTATGAAGCCCCCATCCTCCTAGCCATCCTCCCATCTGTACAGTCCAGCCACTGTAGTCAGCCTCACTGTGTCCCCCACCCCTGCCCTCTGCCAACATGTGGTGTGCTCCCTTGGGACTCTCCTAGGTGGGCCTGGTCACCATTCATTCCATATTGGCCTATCTGTTGTTCACCAGGGGTTCATAGTTCCCTTCCTGGGGTGGCCCTGCTTATACTAGAGAACTAGGAAGGAAATTGCAGAATCAGGATACAAAGCGAAAAAGTTCTACACAGAGATGGGCACACACTGAGAAATACGTGTCACATGGGCTTCCCAGAATCATTCTGGAACTGTAAGGGCCATTGCTAGGTGAACTTGAACTAGAACTCAGATGAAATTTGGCCCTACCCACTCTACCCCTGTGCTTTGCCTCTGCAGCTCCCTGGTCCTATTTTAAGGCCACTTACTTTGTGAGTGCACAGGTGTGCTTTGTAAATGTATCTTTCTTATTGAAGCACAGAAGTTCAGTGTCCACTGTTGAGGTGGGCTGAGTGACCTGGCGTGGGACACCTTGTCCAGCAGCTGGAGAAGAGTGCAGGTGGCCCTGGCTCTCCCCCTCCAACCAAGTTACAGGGGTAGGCAGAGAAGCAGGGAGAGTAGGTGCAGAGGGAGATGTGGGTTAGGCTGTTTGCAGCAGCCTGCACCTGATGGACTTGCAAGATGGAGGGGACAGGGCTGTGTGCTATGACCTGTGCTCGTGGATTTCCTGGTGGGAATTGCATTCGCACCATTGTATAATTCATGCCCATGAAATACTGCCATTACTGCTGAATAAAGCTCTATTGCTCTGAGTATTGCCAAGCATGCTGCCTGTCGTGGAGTCTGTTTTTACCGGTGGGACACTAGGACCTGGGGAGACACCACAGGTCATCCATGAGACAGAACCCCTCAAAGTTCCCTGTAACTTGGACAGGCAGTCCAGTTGGAGATCCCAGGTAGATACCGTGGGGAATCTGTCGGCCTGTGAGCTTAGCCTCTCACCTGAGTCAGCACCTGGGGAGGAGCAGCCATCCTTATACACAGGCTTCAGGGGATTCGAGCTTGTGACTGTCCACAGGTGTCCTCGCCCTGGACAGGTAAGAAGGATGTTCTGTAGATTCAAGCCTGACCTAAGTTAAGATGGGCTTCCGTGTAGACAGACATACCCTAGGAACTGGGATGAACAGCGTCCCTGGGCAAGCGCACGTCCACCTGGCACTTGGGAATATGGAAATCTGGCCGTATAGGAATAAGATCTTTGACTGGGGACAGGTAGTTTATATCTGGAATTAGTAGTTCTCTAACGACACTGACGCGCTAGCTTCGGACTGACTCTACAACTACCAGGAAATATACTACTTTCAAGGACTAAGTTTAGAGGTGCTCGCACAGCGTCTGTACGTGGAACACACAAACACATCACGTCTTACAGGCAACAAAGACTACAGCTCGTAGAAGATTCCTCTGCAGCGCCGACTGAGCTCGGGCGGGCCCGCGGACTCCCTCCGGAGGCCCCAAACCACCCAGAGCCCTTCTTCTCCCAAGACCGGGCGGGGCCTGCCGGGTGCGGGCGGCGAGGCGCCACCACGAGGGTGAGGGCGGAGGTGGGGACGGCACCCCGCAGGGAACGAGCTTCGTCGCAGTGGGGCGGGGGACAAGACCCCGGGCCTGAGCAGAACCCAGGAGACGCGACCTGGCCGGAGACTCGGCGCGCCCGCGTCTGAAGAGCCCGGCGCGACACCGTGGGGCCTTTCGATGCCCTCGGCGCAGGGTTTTCAGGACAGTCTAGATCACTGCCTGGCTATAGGGCGGAAAGGGGAGCCACAGAGTGGCAGAAACTGGGTATATACAGCACTCTAAGAGACTCTATAAAGATCAGGAGATATAGTGGGCTGAAGTCTAGGGGAGAAGGGTCCCCGAGAAAGTGGCTCAGTACGCAAACTGATCAGGCATCTTGGAGGACAGCCCCAAAGTCGGGCCTTGGGCGCCGTGTGTAAACAGTTCTCGGGGCGCCTCAGTTTCGCCCAACTCGGGACCCAAACAAGAGCCGCATGTCGCCGCTCCCCCCCACTCCCCAGCCCGCCCGAGCCGCGGGAGCGTGAGGGCTGGGCCGCTCGGGGCGCCTGCGGGGACGGGAGCTCCCCGGCCGGGTCGGGATGCACCTCGCGCCGAAGGAGCAGCATGACACCACCTCCGGAGACACCCCGGGAAGCGAAGCTGCGCGTCCGGGCCGCGGCTTTTTGGGGTTTGTGAACTTTACACGGCCGTTTGTTATTTTAAAACAAAACAGACAAAAAAAAAAACTAGCCCCAGAGCAAGCTTTGCGGGGTGAATGTCACCGTATTAAAATCAGCTCGCGGTGGAATCGTAAGCAAGATGGTAAGGGCTCAAGGCAAGGTTTAAAGACAGCTTAAGCTTGTTGAAGGTATTAAAGGGCTGGCTTTTGATATTCGGTGAATGGTAAGACTGACTGTCAGTTTAATTTCTTAGTATTAGACTTCAAGTGTGATGACGGTTTATACCTAGTCTTTTTTTGGGGGGGAGGGGAGTCCGGTCGTGGGGCCTGAACTCTGGTTCTGGGCGCTGCCCCTCAGCTCTTCAGCTCAAGGCTAGCGCTCTACCACTTGAGCCACAGCGCCACTTCCGGCTTTTTT